GATTCCAGTTTCCAGCTGCTCCATGTCTTAAGTCCAGGGCACTGAGTGGACAACGCAGGCTGCACACAGTCACGGCACACCCTGATGCCACGGAACCTGCATGAACCCCGTGGGTGGTGCCGGGAGCAGCAGGGAGTGCCACGCCAAATTGTTAACTAGGGAAATCAAACAGACAAAGGTCAGACGTCTAGCCCTTGCTCCAACCCTCCAGAATTCAGCCAAGTCGGGGATCCTGTCACCTTGTACCCACCGTGTCTGCAGCAAGAGTGATGATCAAAATACCCAACCCCCACACTTGAGCTGCATCAGTGAGTACAATGGAGCATCAGCCCTGCCTGTGTGTTATCACCTCAAAGACGCAGCTTCTCTCCTTTAAACATTTCTGAAATCAGACTGATTGTCTTTCAATCAATAGCATCTTAATCCCCACAGGCCACCCTTTAAAAAGTCGCTGTGGGCCCCGCGCGGTGGCTCAAGCCTGTAATCCCAGCACTTTGGGAGGCCGAGGCGGGTGGATCACGAGGTCAACAGATCGAGACCATCCCGGTCAACATGGTGAAACCCCGTCTTTACTAAAAATACAAAAAAATTAGCTGGGCGTGGTGGCGCGTGCCTGTAATCCCAGCTACTCGGGAGGCTGAGGCAGAAGAATTGCCTGAACCCAGGAGGCGGAGGTTGCGGTGAGCCGAGATCGCGCCATTGCACTCCAGCCTGGGTAACAAGAGCGAAACTCTGTCTCAAAAAAAAAAAAAAAAGTCGCTGTGGTTCACACTTGTAATCCCAGCACTTTGGGATCCTGAGGCACTTGAACTCAGGAGCTCGAGACCAGCCTGGGCAACATAGTGAGATCCCCATATCTGCAAAAAATGCAAAACTTAGTCAGGTATAGTGGCATGTGCCTGTATTCCCAGCTACTCAGGAGGCTGAGGTGGGAGGATTGCTTGAACCCCGGGGGCAGAGGTTGCAGCCAGCCGAAATTACACCACTGTACTCCAGTCTGGGCAACAGAGTGAGACCCTGTCTCAAAAAAAATTAAAAATAAAAGTCATTTATTATCTCTGAAATCAGGAGACAGCTCATCATCAATGGCATCTTAGATTGAAGAAATACTGAAAGAAGGGCTTGATTTATGTTTGTTGAATGAAAGAGAAAAAGCCTGGTACCAAAGTGCTTGAAAAGAGATACATGCTGAGCGGAGCTGATGAAAGAATAGAAATAAGGACACCTGGGTATACTGAAGGCTGGTTTCGGCAGAAATGACTGCTTTGGGAACAGGGCCTCTAGGCTTGGTTTCAGTAGCACTGAGGCACTGAGCATGCCACTGGGCTCCAGCCTCCTGGGCCCACCTGGGCAAGGCAAGGTGTTAGCAGAGAAGGAAAATGGCATGATGGGGAATAATGCTCCCAGCTGTTCTAAATAATGGCTAAGGCCAGAGGTTTGATCTGGCTCCTCTGGCCAGGTGCAGCGGCTCCCACCTGTAATCCCAGCACTTTCGGAGGTCGAGGCCGGTGGATGACCTGAGATCAAGAGTTTGAGACCATCCTGGCCAACATGGCGAAACCCGTCTCTACTTAAAATACAAAAAATTATCCGGGCATGGTGGCAGGTTCTTGTAATCCCAGATACTTCATTTCTATGAAGTGGGAGATGTGGGTTTTTTCTCCACTTGCTCAATCCCTCCTCATCTCCTGGTTCCCAGGAAGTCTACTCTCCACCAACCCTGTCCTTTGGAGTCCCACTGCCCCCCTGAGAGATCCTCTTGGGAAGAGTTGAGACGAGCTCTCAACCAACTCATGGCCTACTCTGCGATTGGTGGCTGTGACTGCCTTGGCTCTGCACCCTGATGGAGAGGTCCCAGCTTTCCTTTTCTCTGGCCTCAGGGCACTGTCTGGGTCTAGGATCTTGCCTATAAGATATCAGGCTGGGCTCCTGGCTGCAGGGAACCGTGCTGTTCAGTTTATTCTTCCTGTGCCCTTCTCTCTAGGATGGAGACAATGAAAATAGCCCCTACCTGAGCCCATGGGCAAAAACTCACCTAATGTTCTCCCCAGGAGAATCTTCCTTCAAAGTCCCCTCTATTCCTCCTCCTCTAATTCTTTTGTGTCCTCCTCCTCTAATTCTTTTGTGTCCTATTTGTGGGTAAAGGGAATTGAACTTCATAAACAGGTTTTTAAATTTTCCTTTTAAAATCAGAATCTTGAACTGGCATCTAACTTTGGAATTTTATATCTATTTGATCTCAGTGCCTCAGTTAAACTTCCAATTTAATCTGCTGTTACATATAGATATGTAGATTTACTATTCTGCTATATACATGAACACACACAGATACAACCCAGCCTTATGGCACTGTATTCAACACGCTGTTTTGAATATTTTTAAAAATTATTTTTAAACTTACTCTATTGTGAACTTCATTCCACGTCAATAGACCAGTTTCTGCAACCTCAATTGTAAGGGCTTCAAAACTGTCAGTGTAGATGTACTATAGTTTACTTAACCAATCCCTGTTACGTCGGACATTTACAATTATCTCCAACTCTTAAGTCTTATAACTGGTACTGAGATAAACAATATTATAACTATGTCTATACAGACATTCTTAATTATCTCCTTGGAATAAATGCCCATCCATGAAATCACTGAATCAAAGTCTTCGCTTATTTTAAGTATACTGTCAAGGTTTTCCTTCCAAAAGACTGCAGCAATTTATACTGCCACCAGCAGTGAGCGTGTGACCCTGACTATTTATTCATAGCAGCCAGTGTGGCCAAGACTATTTCCAATTTTTATTATTTTATTAAATAATATTTATTATTTTATTATCTGATAGATTAAAATCAATCCCATGTTTAAGTTTGTATTTCCTTATTACTGGTATTGACTCATCTTCTGTATCTTGATACTTTTTTTAATGAATTGCTTACTCATCTCCTTAACCAATTTCTTTATTAGCATATTTATCTTTTTTCTAATTGATTTCTAAGAGTTCTTCGTATATCAAATTAACTCTTTTCTGGCATATAGATTATAAACACTTTTTCTCTAAATTTGTGTTGTCCTTTATTTATGGGTGGATTTTTTCATTTTTTTATAAGAACGTTTTTTTAAAAGGGTAAAATCTAGGCCGGGCATGGTGTCTCACACCTGTAATCCCAGCACTTTGGGAGGCTGAGGCGAGTGGATCACCTGAGGTCAGGAGTTCGAGATCAGCCTGACTAACATGGGGAAACCCCGTCCTACTAAAAAATACAAAAATTAGCTGGGTGTAGTGGCGGGTGCCTGTAATCCCAGCTATATGGGAGGCTAAGGCAGGAAAATTGCTTGAACATGGGAGGTGGGGGTTGCAGTGAGCTGAGATCACGCCATTGCACTCCAGCCTGAATGACAGACCGAGACTCCATCTCAAAAAAAAAAAAAAAACGTAAAATCATTTCTGTTATAATTTTTTTCCTTCAATGGATGCTCAGGAGCCTCTCCCCAGTGTAAAGGTATATATTCTTCCCTACCTTCTCGTTCTGTTTTGGTTCTATTTTTATATTTTACTATTCAGTATATTGTGGTGTAATGCATCCAGCTTTTTTCTGTCCCAAATAGGTATTCAAATACCACTTTTTTTTTTAAGACAGTCTCACTCTTTTGCCCAGGCTGGAGTGCAGTGGCATGATCTCTGCTCACTGTAGCCTCCATCTCCTGGGTTCAAGCAATTAATCACACCCAAATAGCTGAGATAAAATTTTTCAATTTTTATCAGAGATGGTTTTTACCATGTTGGCCAGGCTAGTCTTGAACTCCTGACCTCAAGTGATCTGTTCACCTTGACCTCCCAAAGTGCTGAGATTACAGGCATGAGCCACTGCACTGAGCCCCCACTTTTTACATAATATATTCTCTTTCCATTGATTCAACATGCTAGCTTTATCATACAATAAATTCTCAATACATGGCTCTATTTATTATCAATATTTCTATCTAGACTCCAACTGCTCACTCTTTAATTTCTGTAGTTTTACAATATATTTTAACCACTGTTTTTCAAAATGTTCTTTGTTTTCCTTCATACTGAATATTCCAATTCAAATGTGCAAGATATGCCATATAAAGTGTAGAATCTGTCTGTCATTTCCCAAGACCCATTGAAATCCTGATTTACCCAATCAATTGAACTTGGAAACAAACTGGCATCCTTATTGAATTTTGTCATCCAGACTCATCATGGACAGCCTCTTTCTCAATAAAACACCTGAAATGAGAGGAATCTTCACTTCTCTGCAGCCTTAACAATTCAAGGTGACATTGTTAACCCAGCTACAATGTCTGGACTCAGGTTTCCCTCTGTCAGCAGACTGAGCCCTCCAGCGCCCTCCTCCCAGCTCTCTTGGGGATACCCAGTATACCTGTTTTCAGGCCTCATGGAGACCTCTCATCCCTACAACTCTCTGCTTGGCTCTTATCTCTACAAATCTATCTTGGCCTTTTCTGCCTTCAGTCCTGCTCCCACCTGATTTAGACTTCACAGTCCAGCACCTCAATTGCACCCTCTCTCCAATACCACAATCCCCCTGCCCTCCTGAGTAGCTGGGATTACAGGCATGGGCCACCATGCCCAGCTAATTTTGTATTTTTAGTAGAGACGAGGTTTCTCCATGCTGGTCAGGCTGGGCTTGAACTCCCAACCTCAGATGATCCTCCCACCTCGGCCTCCCAAAGTGCTGGGATTACAGATGTGAGCCACCGTGCCTGGCCAATAATAAGAACTTTCTAACAAAGGAAGAGTTGTCTCACTCCACCATGAGCTCCCTTTCATGAAGCAACTAAGTGGAGACTGGAAATGACAAAAATCCCAGCCCCAGGAGGGAGTCGAATGACATGACTCCTAAAGGACCTCATGGTGCTAAGACTTCTGAGGTTTTGAATTCATGAGTTCCCAAGAGAGGGGGTTCACTGTCCATGGCTCCATACACACAGTGTGCTCTGCCCTGTTTCCTTCGTCCCCACAGAGTGTGCTCGGGTGTTCCACACGGGTGGGGCAAGGCTGGTGCTATGTGGAAAGAACTGGGAGAGACTAGAGAACCTCTATGATGCCTTGATCAGCGTGGCTGACCCCAGCAAGGTAAGGTCTTCCAGCCATCGGCGTGGGTAACCCTGGGCACTCCCAGCCTCCATTGATCTTTCAGAACCAGCTTGTGGACCAAGTGGAGGAAACTTGGTGATTGCTTTGGGAAATGTGAGGCAATGAACCCAATGACCTTGACATAGGCAAGTTTACCATTCATAATGGGTTAACTTGTTTTGACCACCCACCATGACAAAATCGTGTTCTTTAGCCATGGCCCCTTGCCCTGACTCTATATAAGTCAAACTTAACAAGGATACAGAACACAGAGGATATTACAGGTACCAGCTGTGATTACAAACACAGCCATTTTTTTTTTAATACCTCAACTGGTATCTCCTTCAAAGAAACCAGATAAATGAGACCCCTTCCCAAGAAGTCTCCCAGGAAGTGAACACATTTCAATGAGGCTGCAGCTCCCTGGAGCACTGGTCAGGGAACTGTCTTTGGGGATCCCTTCAGGATATTTGTTTCTAATCTTTACCTTTGAGGTTGCATTTGGTGTTTAGAAACAGCTAAGTCAGGTGCAGTGGCTCATGCCTGTAATCCCAGCACTTTGGGAGGCTGAGGTGGGTGGATCACCTGAGGTCGGGAGTTCGAGACCAGTCGACCAACATGGAGAAGCACTGTCTCTAATAAAAATACAAAAATTAGCTGGGTGTGGTGGTGCATGCCTGTAATCCCAGCTACTCAGGAGGCTGAGGCAGGAGAATTGCTGGCACCCAGGAGGGGGAGGCTGCAGTGAGCTGAGATTGCACTATTGCACTCCAACCTGGGTAACAAGAGCAAAACTCTGACTCAAATTAAAAAAAAGAAAGAAAGAAACAGCTCAAAGTAATTCAGAGGTAAGTTTGGTATTTGAGGAGATGAATCAAACAGGGTAACACAGAATCTCCCAAAGTGTGTTTCTAGGGATGTGATTAGGCACTTGGTAAAAGGGTTTTCAGTCAGTTGAGTGAGAAACACTGAGTTCAGCTAAGCTTGTCCGGATTCTTCACTACGGAACTTTTCAGAGCCTTTGATATGCCGATGTTCACTGTGTATCTCCAAGAAGAACTTGGAGAACAGCCTGTGTTTCCCAGACAAATCTGACCACAGAACTCTCTCTTCAAGGGCATATCTAAGGAAATTGGGATTGCATTTCCCACTCGGTGTCATCAATTTTCCCATCTGTCCACCCTCCTACACATCCCTAGAGCAACACAGTCTTCATGCAGCAAGTGTCAGGCTGAACACAGTGCCTGGCACATAGATGCTCCAAAAATATTGTGTTGAGTGTATGATTTTAGGTTTTTTTTTTTTTTTTTTTCTGAGATGAAGTCTCTCTCTGTTGTTCAGGCTGGAGTGGAATGGTGGGATCTCAACTCACTGCAACCTCCAACTCCCAAGTTCAAGTGATTCTCCTGCCTCAGCCTCCTGTGTAGCTGTGATTATAGTCACATGCCACCATGCCCAGATAATTTTTGTATTTTTAGTAAAGATGGGGTTTCACTATGTTGGTCAGGCTGGTCTCGAACTCCTGATCTCAGGTGACCCGCCAACCTCAGCCTTCCAAAGTGCTGAGATTACAGGCATAAACCACCTCACCTGGCCCAGCCCAATTTTAGTTTTTAAAAATGTGGCTATAAAGTATTGCGATGGCTTTCTTTTTTTTTTTTTTTTTTTTTTTTTTTGCAACTTGCAAGCCAGGTTGAAAAGCGGTTTCTGCAAAGGAGCTCAGAAACGTTAAAAGTAATGATGTCACCACTGGAGTCAGTGCACAGCCCACAAAGGGGACCACTGTGAAGGGTGATATTCATTTATTGGTTCTGGAACCTTAGCCAAAAGCTTAGACTTATTGCTGCATATTCATATCTAGATTTGTTGTTGCTTTTGCCCTGGTCCCCAAGAATGACTTCTCTGGCAATATCCTTCATCCCAGAATGATTTCTGCTTCTTGTCTTTATTTTATTTATTTATTTATTGATTTGCAGCCATTTCATGATCTTTGAATTTCAAAATAGGTGGCTTTTAGATCGAGGGCTCCCAAGGTCTGCAAGAGGGAGGATATCTCACACATACCCTGACTCTCTCATTGGTTCAGCAGACGTTCACCCCAAAGCTGGTCCTGTTGGACCTCTCGGACATCAGCTGTGTCCCAGATGTGGCAAAAGAAGTCCTGGATTGCTATGGCTGTGTGGACATCCTTATCAACAATGCCAGTGTGAAGGTGAAGGGGCCTGCCCATAAGATTTCTCTGGAGCTAGACAAAAAGATCATGGATGCCAATTACTTTGGACCCATCACCTTGACAAAAGGTCTCGTGAGTTTGACTTTCCCGTGGGGATCTGGGCCGCCAGCTTCTACAGAGGGCTCTGTTAAATAGCCAGACAGTCATCCAATTCTGTATAGAATCCCCCAACTCCCTTGGAAAATTCCCTACCTATTGGGTGAAAGCTTTCAGCATTCCCATTGGAAATGTTTATGAAGGAAAAGGAACTCAGGAACCATGTGATTCGTATATTTCAACCACCCTCTCTGTGAATCCCTCTCCCCACCCAAGCCTGGTCTTTTTACTTCTCTTTCCTCATGTCCATGGTTTCCCTCCGATTCGACATCTCTGAACAATTGTCTCATCCTTGTGTACATTCTGCTGTATCAACCTTGCAGTTGATCTGCTCCTAACCATGACAGTTGATCAAAGGTAAAGATTCTGGCCGGGAGTGGTGGCTCATGCTTGTAATCCCAGCACTTTGGGAGGCTGAGCCAGGTGGATAACCTGAGGCCAGGAGTTTGAGACCAGTCTGGCCAACATGGTGAAACCCCATCTCTACTGTAAATACAAAATTAGCCGGGCGTGGTGATGGGTGCCTGTAACCCCAGCTATTCGGGAGGCTGAGGCAGGATAATTGCTTGAACCCAGAAGGCAGAGCTTGCAGTGAGCCAAGATTGTGCCATTGCACTACAGCCTGGGCAACAGAGCAAGACTGTTTGAAAAAAAAAAAAAAGATTCTGTCCTCAGAAATGAAGAAGAAGAAGGACTTATCACAAAACTACAAGAGACCCAGTATTTTGTCAACCCCTTCACAGAAACAGGGAAGGCAGGAGGATGTCTCCCTTTAATGAGTAAGATGGGTGATTCCTATGTGAACCTGTTAGATGGGCCGAGGAGACAGCCAGGTGCAGATTTCTCACCACTAGGTTCAAACATAGTTCTAAAGCCTGGAAAGTGGGGCTGGAAATGACCATAGGATGAAGAGTTGAAACCCCTGCCATCCAAAGAAATAAAAGTTTATCAAACAGAAGTTCAGGGGGAATGGAATGTGGAGAACACCTCCAATGAGGGAGTGGGGTGTCCTGGCAAAGGTTAAGATCTAGCATATCTTGGAACTACCTTCTCTACAACCAGCTCCCATGCTGGGTACCTCTAACGATAGGATTTCAAGTACTAAGACTAATGAAGAGAAAGAAACATTTGGGGCAGAAAGATGACTTCTCAGAGCTCCTAGAATAGTGTCCCATAGACAACAGTTTCCTCCATTCCAGTCCCTATGAACACACCAAACAGGCCAGCACAGGTGTGTCATCCATCAACCTTGAATAGAGACTGTTTGGTGGCATCCAAGCAAGGAATGAAGAAAGTGGAGTGGAGAAGGGCCAGAATGGGCTTCTCCTCCTGGTTAGTCCTTTAACTCACGAAGGACCCTGGGTCTACACCCTAGCTCTGGACCTCAATTTGTCTACCTTTAACATGAAGGGGCTGTTTCACAGATCATTCTGAAAGTTGACTCTGACCATAATCTTTTCATTTTTTGCCATATCCCCATTCCACCTGTACTATTATTAACTTAATACCTTTCTCTGAATTTTCTCCTTTTTAAATTGAATTCACTTTAGGAGGAAATCTTTATAAAACCAACATAGATTTAAAATCTCCTTCACTCTCAATAAACAAAGAGCAACCTGAAAATTAAACAAATTAGCTTCCTCCAAGATAGCCTGAGAACATCAGAATCTTCCCTCTCTTTGTTAAAAGATTAGCACATGACAGTCTGGCAATTCCTCAAGGATCTAGAACTGGAAATACCATTTGATGCAGCAATCCCATTACTGGGTATATACCCAAAGGAGTATAAATCATTCTAGTATAAAGACACATGCACACATGTTTACTGAGGCACTGTTCAGAATAGCAAAGACTTGGAACCAACCCAAATGTCCATCAATGATAGACTGGATAAAGACAATGTGGCACATGTACACCATGGAATACTATGCAGTCATAAAAATGGATGAGTTCATGTCCTTTGCAGGGACATGGATGAGGCTGGAAACCATCATTCTCAGCAAATTAACACAAGAACAGAAAACCAAACACCACATGTTCTCACTTATAAGTGGGAGTTGAACAATGAGAACACATGGACACAGGGAGGGGAACAACACACACTGGGGCCTGTCAGGAGGTGGGGGTCCAGGGGAGGGATAGCATTAGGAGAAATACGTAATGTAGATGACTGGATGATGGATGCAGCAAACCACCATAGCACGTGAATACCTTTGTAACAAACCTGCACATTCTGCACATGTACCCCAGCACTTAGAGTATAATAAATTTTTTTTTTAAAGATTAGCACATGGAAGAGAGGCGTCGAAGACATACTAGAGCCAATGTGAGACTTCCTTCTTCCTTCTTGAGGCCGCAGTAGGAGAACTGAAAAGGGAATGCCTTTCTTACTATTGAGATCAGTGTCTGTTCTATTGGGTACTGTACTCACTACCTGAGTGCAATATACCCATGTAACAAATCTGCACATGTTCCCCCCGCATCTAAAACAAAAGTTGAGAGGAAAATAAAATAAAATCGAAACAAATATGCATTTAAAAAATTAGTGTCACTGAATGCACATTGGTGGGAAAGTACCAATTTAAAATCACCCAGCAATTCACCAGCCCACGCTTTGGGAACACTGGATAAATGATGGCAGGGTCCATTCCATCCCTGCCGTGCTGCAATCTAATGACTGCGGAGGTAGCAGAGCCCTGTGATGAAGGGGGCCGGGGTGGGGGGTCTCCCTGCTGCTGCCTAAGGTGGTCTCTGAGTCGCATTGTCCTGTGTTTTCCAGCCCTGCTTCCCAACATGATCTCCCGGAGAACAGGCCAAATTGTGCTAGTGAATAACATCCAGGGGAAGTTTGGGATCCCATTCCGTACAGCATGTAAGTTGCTAAGATAAAAATATGCCATCTTCTCTTGTATGTCTTCTGGTATAAGGCAGGATCTGTTATGTCTACGACTAGGCAGATGGTCACAGGGGAAAGGGCCCAAGGATGACACCATCTGCTGGGTTTTCTTTCATCCCTATGGTTCCTATTTCTTGAGCGCCTACAGCCTACAAGTCGCTATGGGAGATGCTGAGACATTAAAGATAAGCTCCCTCTCTCCACAAAGCTCACCATCTCCCATATGGGTAGAACATGCACTAAGTGAACGTGACAAGGCCAGGTGAAGGTCATACTCCTGACAAAGATGCACAGTCACAGCTCCAATGCCCCTTCCTCCATAAAGATGCCCTTGAAGGAAAGATTTCCATTGGGAAAGAGAAGGATGGGTGCACATCACAAAATGGGATTGCACCTGTAATCCTAGGACTTTGGGAGGCCAAGGCAGGATGATCACTTGAGGTCAGGAGTTTGAGACCAGCCTGGCCAACATGATGAAACCTGGTCTCTACTAAAAATATGAAAATTAGCTAGGCATGGTGGTGTGCACCTGTAATCCCAGTTACTCAGGAGGCTAAGGCAGGGGAATTGCTTGAGCCCAGGAGAAGGAGATTGCAGTGAGCTGAGATCTCGCCACTGTACGCCAGCCCGAATGACAGAGCAAGACTCTCTCAAAAATAAAAAACCACACCACATGGAAGTCACTTGCCCATGTGTCTACCTGACTGATGAACTGAAGATTCCATGAGGCCAGAGCCGCCTCTGTCCACCTCTGGGTCCCCAGCTCCTCACCTACTAGAGCAGGCGCTTCACTGCTGAATGGCTGAAGGAATCGAGGAGATGGTGGATGAATGAACAACAAGCTAATAGACCTTTTTTTTTTTTTTTTTTTGGTAACACTTGTATTGATGATGTAATTCACATGCCACACAATGCATCCACTTAAAGTGCCTAGTTCTGCCTGTGTGGTGGCTCACACCCGTAATCCCAGCACTTTGGGAAGCCGAGACAGGCAGATCACCTGAAGTCAGGAGTTCGAGACCCATGTGGCCAACATGGCAAAACCCCGTCTCTGCTAAAAATACAAAAATTAGCTGGGCGTGGTGGCTCATGCCTGTGATTCCAGCTACTCAGGAGGCTGAGGCAGGATAATCGCTTGAACCTGGGATGGGGAGGTTACAGTGAGCCAAGATTGCGCCATTGCATTCAGCCTGAGAAACAGAGTGAGATTGTCTCAAAAAAAGAAAAAAAAAATGTATGGTTCCACTATTTTTAGTATATTCATGGAGCTGTGTATTCATCACCATGATCAATTTTTGGACATTTTCACCAACCCAAAAAGTAAGTCCCCTGCCCTTAGCCATCACTCTCCAATCCCCCACCTCCCTGCACTATACAACCCCTAATCTATTTTCTGTCTCTATACATTTGCCTATTCTGGACATTTCACATCAACAGAATCACATAATGTGCAGTCATTTTGTGCCTGATTTTCTTATTTAGCATAATATTTTCAAGGTTCAACTGTTTGTAACATGTATTAGTCGTGCTTTTTTTTTTTTTTCTTTGAGACGGGGTCTCACTCTGTCACCCAGGTTGGAAGTGGTGCGATCTCGGCTCACTGTAACCTCCACCTCCAGAGTTCAGGTGATTCTCCTGCCTCAGCCTCCCGAGTAGCTGGGATTATAGGCGTGCACCATCATGCCTGGCTAATTTTTGTATTTTTAGTAGAGACAGGGTTTCGCCATGCTGGTCAGCTGGTCTCGATCTCCTGACCTCATGATCCACCCACCTCACCCTCCCAAAGTGCTGGGATTACAGGTTTGAGCCACTAATCCTGGCCTGCATTTCTTTTGTGGCCAAATAGTATTTCATTGTGTGCAGCTATTTTGTGTTTATCTATCAGTCAGTTGATGGGCATTTGTGTTGTTTCTGCTTTGGGCTGTTATGAATAACGCTGCCGTGAATGTTCATGTACAAGTTTCTTTGTGGACATGTGCTTTCATCTCTCTTGGGTATCTACCTAGGAGAGGAATTGCTGGGCCACGTGGTAACTCTATGTTTAACAGTTCAAGGAACAGCCAGGCTGTTTTCCAGCGCTTGCATCATTTTACATCCTCGCCAGCAATGCACATAGATTCCATTTTCTCCACTCCTTGCCAATACCTTATCTCCATCTTCTTGATTCAAGCCATCTTAGTGTGTCATGTTGGCCAGGATGGTCTTGATCTCCTGATCTCATGATCCCTCTGCCTTGGTCTCCCAAAATGCTGGGATTACAGGCACAAGCCACCATGCCTGGCCCCAATCTCTCTTTTTAAAAAGAAAAGAGACCAGGTGCAGTGGCTTGCGCCTGTAATCCCAACACTTTGGGCAACAGAGCGAGACTCTGTCTCAATAAAAAAGAAACAACATTAAACCCCTACACAGTGCAGGGTTCAAATGTACGTGCCACTGTCTTGGGTTCCTTAGCCATGAATGAGGTGAGCCAAGCAAGAAGACCAGCCTGGCCAACATGGTGAAACCCTGTCTCTACTAAAAATACACAAATTCGCCAGGTGTGGTGGCACATGCCTGTAGTCCCAGCTACTTGGGAGGCTGAGGCAGGAGGATCGCTTGAAACCAGGAGGCAGAAGTTGCAGTGAGCAGGGATAGTGCTGCTGCACTCCAGCCTAGTGACAGAGCAAGACTCTGTCTCAAAAAAAGAGAGAGAGAGAGAGAGAAAGTTTTGTGGCAACTATGATAGAAGTAAATACCTCATATGACATAGTTTTCTATATGTTGAAATATTTCATAATTGAAAAGAGAAAATAAAATAGAGAAAGTTAGAAGCAGATGGATCCTAACATTCTTCTTAGTTACCATCCTCCCAAATTCTCTTATTTTCAATTGACTCTTTTTTTGGTGGGGGCAGGATGGAGTCTTGCTCTGGTCATCTAAGCTAGAGTGCAGTGGCTCAATCTTGGCCCACTGCAACCTCTACCTCCCAGGTTCATGAGATCCTTGTGCCTCAGCCTCCCAAGTAGCTGAGATTACAGATGTGCCCCACCACCCCCAGCTAATTTTTGTATTTTTACTAGAGATGGGTTTTCACCATGTTGGCCAGGCTGGTCTCGAACTCCCAGCCTGAGGGAATCTGCCTGCCTCAGCCTCCCAAAGTGCTGGGATTACAGGCATGAGCCACCGCACCCAGCCTGATTTGATGTTTTCTAAGGGCAGGAGGAAGCAGGCATGGAAGGAGAGGGACAGCCAGCTCCTCAGGCTCGGGGAACCAGGAGAGGGTTCTGGTTGAAGGCAGGAACCACAGCACATCCACCTTCTGCCTCTGACTGACACCCCTAAAATGTGAAGTTGGGGTGCATCACACCCCAAATGTGGTTCTAACTTCCCAAAGCTCTAAGCAATGTCCACTCCATCCTTTATGGAATTCCTGGAATGATCCTTTTTTGCCCAATCCATGGCATCTACTATTTGAACTGGATTTGGCAAGTGGATTACATAGACCGGCTCTCCAAGGAAAAGGGGAACGGGAAGGGAGAGGGGATATCTGTGCTTCAGGCTCATGCAGCCACCAACTGGCCCCGGACCTTGGACAAGTTTCTTAGGCATCGGCCTTCCCAGGAAGGAAGGGGAATTCATGCTGTGCCAGCATTCTATATTTTCTCATTTGATCATCACAGTAATTTGGCAAGGGAACTATGACCCCCGTTTTAAAGATAAGGAAACTGAGCCTCAGGGAGGCAAAGTGATTTGCCCAAGATCACGTCACACCGCCAGCAAGTGGCTAAGGTGGATTCAATTCCAGATCTTTTTCCACCACTCCTGAGGGCTCTCTGCCCTCATTCATAAAGCAAGGGGCAGATTCTTGAGGACCCACCCAGCTCTGCGCTTGTAGGAAGTGTGCCTGTCGGTCCTCCTGCCTCCAATGTACCCACCAGGAAGCAGGGCCGGGAGCATCCCAAGCCCACCTCTGGATGGTTTCTCCTGCAGATGCTGCCTCCAAGCACGCAGCCCTGGGCTTCTTTGACTGCCTCCGAGCGGAAGTGGAGGAATATGACGTCGTCATCAGCACCGTGAGCCCGACTTTCATCCGGTCATACCATGTTTATCCAGAGCAAGGAAACTGGGAAGCCTCCATTTGGAAATGTGAGACTTCAGAGGGAAGTTGGGGTTCCCTGGGTGGCCTCTGGAACTGTCCAGTGTCACTGGGGGTGGATGACCTTCAGATGGGTACTCCCGAAGCATGAGTCTGGGGGTCGGGGTGGAGGAGGCTCAGCAACCCCCCACAGCAGGGCAGGGGCCCCAAACCTTTAGGCCTGAGGCAGCTGGTAGACAGAATCCTAGTAGCCTACTGCCCCATGCATGCACTGAGCTCAGCCACTCAGCTTACTCTGCCACCTATGCAAGTGACTGCCTGTCTCTGGGCCTGTTTCCCAGATGTAATGGCCAGGATTTGGGCTGGAAGAAATTTCCTGCCCCCATCCCTTGCATAGAGTGAAGGCCGAGAGTCTAAAACCAGGCCACCCACACTGGAAGCCGGCCTCTGCCACACATTAGAGGGTTGGACATGAGCAAGTCCCTTCATCACTTCCTGCCTTCCTAAGAGGCAGGTATTGCTGTTACTGTTTTCAGTAACAGCAATACCTACCTCAAGAGAAATTTTAGAAAATGAGGGATAGGCCAGGCATGGTGGCTCATACCTGTAATCCCAGCACTTTGGGAGGCCAAGACAGGCGGATCACCTGAGGTTGGAAGTTCGAAATCAGCCTGACCAACATGGAGAAACCCCGTCTCTACTAAAAATGCAAAATTAACTGGGCATGGTGGTGGGTGCCTGTAATCCCAGTACTTGGGAGGACAAGGCAGGAGAATCACTTGAACCCAGGAGGTGGACGTTGCAGTGAGCCCAGATAGTGCCATTGCACTCCAGCCTGGGTGACAAGAGTGAGACTCTGTGAGAGAGAGACAGAGAGAAAGAGAAGAAAGAAAGAAAAGAAAGAAAGAAAGAAAGAGAGAGAAAGAAAGAAAGAATAGCAATACCTATCTCTCAGGGATCTCTAAAGGACTAGAGGTTCTGGAATAGCAACTAGCGGCTCTATCATTCAGTGCACCTTGTTAAGTTCACTATTCCGAGATACTCCAAGCACAGAGGTGCTACCTGCTACCCTTGCCCAAGGCTCTAGGTCCACCTTGAGGAACTAAGATGATCCAAGATCAGGGGTTACCGGGGGACAGAGCACGGGTTCCAGGACACTCCTGACAAGCACAGCTTCACAACAGTTACAGACAACAGCCCCTTAATCCACCTGGCACCTTCTCAGATCCTAACCTCTTTTGCATCCCTTTCCCCACACCTAACCGCCCTGCGAAATGACCAGAGTGGTTAACTAGGTCCACCTCACAGATGCAGAAGGAAACCCAGAGAGTAGAGCGTCTCCCGCTGGGCCCCGCGGCCCGTGGGTGGCGGAGGGGCCTGGAACCTGCAGGGTTCCACGCTTCCCAGGCCTTTGTGCACCTGCAGGGCTCTGACCAGCCGGCTCCCCACCGAGGCCGTCACCCTCGCCCCGCACTGGGGCCGTTCAGTCTTTTTCAGGAAGCTGACCTATGGCGTGCACCCCGTGGAGGTGGCGGAGGAGGTGATGCGCACCGTGCGGAGAAAGAAGCAGGAGGTGTTCATGGCCAACCCCATTCCCAAGGCCGCTGTGTACGTCCGCACCTTCTTCCCCGAGTTCTTTTTCGCCGTGGTGGCCTGTGGGGTGAAGGAGAAGCTCAATGTCCCGGAGGAGGGGTAACTGCAGGAGGCCAAATGGGTCACGCCTTGGAAATAAAGGTTTCTGGCAGGTGCTGGCCCTTCCATCCTGTGCTCGACACTGGGGTCTCACGCCCCCACACCCCTCCCCTGTCCGAGATCTCCCTGAGACAGTGATGACCGCCCGGAGTCAGTCCGGAAGCTTCAGGGCCTGGGGTTCTCCCACTCCACATTCCCAGGACACACTTCCAGAAGCTTCCCTGCTCTGTAGGGAAACAGGAGCTGCAATGGCTCCAACCCCACATCCCCACACCCACACTGTCCCTATGTGCTCAGGAGCTCACTCTGAAAACCGCCTCCACTGTATACAAGGGTGACCTGCTTGTCACCTCTACCCACCAGCGCAGGACTCGGCGACCGTTTAGGACAGTGCTGCAAGGATGGAAATATTCTATAATCTGCATTGTCCAACATGGCAGCACTGGCTGCATGTGGCTGCTGGGCATTTGAAAAGTGGCCCCGTGTGTCTGAGACACTAAATTTTTAATGCTATTTAATTATAATTAATTTAAAATTTAATAGCCATAGGTGGCTAACAGCTCCAGAGTTGGGGGTGTGTGAGAATCAGCCCCTCTTCCAGGCTGATTTCATTGGCCTCAGACCTCTCCCAACCCCACCCCAGCTCTCCCCTGCACCATCAACCCCACCATCCTCATCCACACAGCCAAGCTGGATTTTTAGCTTCCACATTGCTTCTAACAAATGCTGAGAACTTTTGCCCAGGTATCCACCCCATTCCAGCCTCTCCTTCCATTCTCAAAGCAAAAAGCATTTAAAACGCTATTCTGTCCTTTCACGTGGGCACTTGGTGTAGTCTCCTTTTTCTTATACAAAACAGTAAATGAGGCAGGGTGGGATGACCTGTAATCCCAGCACTTTGGGAGGCTGAGGTGGGTGGATCATCTGAGTTCAGGAGTTCAAGACCAGCATGGCCAACATGGCAAATCCCTGTCTCTACTAAAAATACAAAAATTAGCTGGGTGTGGGGATGCATGCCTGTAATCCCAGTTACTCAGGAGGCTGAGGCAGGTGTATCTCTTGAACCTGGGAGATGGAGGTTGCAGTGAGCCGAGATCATGCCACCACCACTGCACTGCAGCCCAGGGAACCAAGTAAGACTCCATCTCAAAAACAACAACAAACAAAAACAAACACAGTAAATGAATCTTGAGCAGTTGGAAAGTGTAGGGTACCTTTTTGCACTTATATTGTAACAACTCAAGCTTTTCTAGTATTTATAAATGAAAGGGCAAAATTCTCTTCCCTGAACCTAAATCATTTAGAAAACGAACACACAGAGGGTACACATATGCATGTATATAAATCTTAATTTAAAAAGCAAAATGCCCAGGATCACTGATCACTTGGAGCCCAGCCTACCCCAGGACCAGGCTGCTGATCCCCTCCAGCCACCACGGAGGCAGAATGTTGGTTCAGAACTTAGGGACCCACTGAAGCAGGCGGGCAAGGCAGGCCAGGAGCCTGCAAGGGAACTGTCTTTTTCGAGGTTACCTTTGTGGGTGGAGGGTGGAACATATTGGGGTGCTCAGGCCGGAGCCAACAGAGGGTGGGTAGGGACCACAAACCTGAGAGGAGAGGGCTGAAACTCGATTGGTGAGCAGAGAGTAGGGCTGGCAGCTTTGGGACAGGAGCAGCTGGAGCCAGAGTCACAGCGGCCAATCCTGGTACGCACCAAGGGTGGGCTGTCAGCAGAGACACGTGGCCACGACCCAGATCCAGGCTGTAGAATCCTAACATGTTCCCTTTAGGGCTCTGCCTGGTTGCAGATGAATTCCAGGACAAGAGCTCCCCAAGGGGATGGGGGACAGGAAGGGACTCATCCACACTGGCACATTCTGGGAGAGTGAGGATTCTGAGACGGGGTAACAGCAGACACCTGGGATTCCCCTAAAGAAGCCACGTGGAGGAAGAGACCACGAAGGACTCTCTGGTTTAAGTGGCTCTGCTCCACTGATCCCCTGCCAACTGGCGGAGCATGCCCTGGAGCAAGGGTCAGAGACTTGCAGGTGGACCTAGACAGCCTACCTGGTGGGCACCCTAAGCGCCCTGCAGTTAAATTTCCTGTCCATGGGCTTTGGCCTCCTTCTGACTAAATGCTCCCTAGTGCGTTCAGATTTCCCTGTGCCCACTCAGGCCCTGACGCTCGTTCAGGATGGGGTGTCTCACTAGCTTCTGAATGAAAACCCGCAATCCTTACCTTGAAACATAGTTGGGGGGAAAAAAGCCATGCAGTATGAAAAATAGCCAGCAGGGGGCACTGTGTCTCCAAACCAATTTTATAGCTCATCTCTCCATAAAACCCTGCAGCACAGCAGTAGTAACCCCCATAATTACATTCACAATCTCCAAAGGGCATCCCCTTCCAAGATTTCATTAGGTCTTCACATCAGCCTTAATTTATTGGAAGGGCTGACAAATCTATTTCACAGATGAGAAAGCTGAAGGTGATTATGTTCTGTGAGATACAGCTGCTCTGGGCAGAGCAAGAGCAGTTAGCTCCTGGGACCCAGAAGGAGTGGATTCTAGGCCCCAGTAATTGCCCCAGACCTTAAAGGGACTGCCCCAAGGCACTGCAAGACTTGAAACAGTCCTCACACTCCACGTAGAGAGAGATAGAGGTGGCTTTCTACTCCCACCCCCAACCACCCATGTCTACAAAATTTTTTAAATTGGAAAATGAAGAAAAGCCTAAAGAAGCAGAGAGACAAGGCAATCAGATGCCCTGGCAACCACTGTTAACATCCGAGCTATTCTCTGGGGAGACCGCCAGAATCTTTTGGTTTTATTTGATTTTATTTTTTTGAGACAGCGCTTCACTCTTATTGCCCAGGCTATAGTGCAGTGGCATGATCTTGGCTCACTGAAACCTCCACCTCCTGGGTTCAAACAATTGTCTTCCTCAGCCTCCCAAGTAGCTGGGATTACAGGTGCCTGAGACCAGAATCTTTACAGAGAGCACACTTTTTGGAGCCTCAGGGGCCACCCTAGGTGTGCCTGCAAGAAGACCACACAAATAAAGACACAGGGCTGGGCATAGCCACAGCTATGCCCAGTCCCAGTGTCTGGGGCAGTCCCTGCCCCTTCAGATGCTGTGAGCACTCCATCTCAGTGCTGGCACTTGTGGCCTGCTACAATAGGTGCCCTTGACTGTTGACTACTGACTAGGCTCAGCCATTGGGGACTGGCTGGCAGGGAGACTGAAGCTGCGGTGTTTAGTATCCCAGCTGTCTCCTGCCAGGCTGCAGTGGCTTGATTGCAACCTGCCACTGCAGGCCACAGCTCCACCAAGCAGGTGTCCCCACTGGTTACCCTCAGGAGCCACTCCTGCCCTTTGCCCCTTGGGGTCTAGGGGCATTCATGGCTCCTGGCCGCTGCTGGTCCCAGGTACTTCTTTGTCCTTTGTTGGAATCCTTTAATCCTGATCACACCTCTGTGATGCCCCTTCATTAAATGCTCCCTAATCACTTCATATTATAGGTTGAATTCTGTCTCTTCTATATAAAAAATAATAAGAAGAAGATTTTCGAACCCCCAGTACCTTAGAATGTGACCTTATCTGGAAATAGGGACTTTGCAGATGTAACTAGTTAATGTGGGGGATTAACTGGAGTAAGGTGCATTCCTATAAGAAGGTGGCCATGTAGAGACAAAGACACCCAGGGAGTGTGCCCATGATGATGGAGGCAGAGATGGGAGTGATGCAGAGATAATAGGAGTGACGAAGAGATAGGAGTGATAGGAGTGATTGATGCAGCTGCAAGCAGGAACACCAAAGCCTGCCGGAAAGACACCAGGCACTAGGAAGGGGCCAGGAAGTGATCTTCCTGCAGGTTCCAGAGGGAGCATGGCCCTCTGAGAGCCTTGTACCCTGAGGGAGAATAGTCTAATCAATGTGGTGGACCAGACCCATGCAGAAAGATGGACCCTGAACCCAGTGGCCCAGCACCAACTGCCCAGCTAAGAAACATCCCATCAACGCATGCCTGTAATCCTAGCTACCTGGGAGGCTGAGTCAGGACAATCGCTTGAACCTGGGAGGCGGAGGTTACAGTGAGCCAAGATCGTCCCACTGCACTTCACCCTGGGTGACAGAGTGAGACTCTGTCTCAAAAAAAAAATAAAGGAAGGGCCCACTAACCAGGAAGCCAAATGCTATATTGGCTATGACTTTGGATGTTACAGGCAACAGAAACCCAACTCAAGTATTTACTCACCCAAGTAACTGGAAATTCTTATTTCGGGCAGAGTCAGGCTCCAAATGGTGCCATGAGGATTCAGTCATTTTCTGCCGTCTCTCGGCAATATATTCCAACACATGGGCTTCATGCTCAGCAGATATCCCCATCATCATGGCAAGATGGACTCCATGGCACCAGGTGCATGTTCCAGCTACTTAGAAGCTATGTAGAAAGAGATTTCTCTTCCCCAATAGTTTATACTAATGTCCTGATACCTTTGGGTATGTGGCCCTTTTGAAACCACCACCACATGTCTAATTGCCCAGGCCTTGGCCAGCTGCTCCGCTTCTAGAGAAGGAGGGGTAGGGCAGCCATGTTTGAACAAGCACAGAGTGGAGAAGTGGTGGTTTCCCAAGAGAAAACGAAGATGCTCTTCCAAGAAGAAAAGGAGAGCATATATTTGGCAGGGAAAGCAACCTTTCTTTCAAAATGCATGTCCCTGAAGAAGGCAAGAACTAACATACATGGATATGTTACTAACATACATGGATTATGTCTGCTACCTTACTAGGATCTTGCACTCATTGCTTTATGCAGTGTTCCCAGCAAGCCTCCAAGATAAATATGAGTTCCATTTCCACCCATCAGAAACACACAGGCTAAGAAAGCTGAGTAGGCCATTTGGCCAAAGTGCATAGCTAGTCAGTCAGAGCTGAGGCTTGTGAGTGGAAATGACTGGGCCACCTGCAGACAGAGAAGATCTACAACCTGCCAGTCTTTTCCATGTGAGAACTGGGTGGGGTTTCCGAGTGCAGGGTCAGATCACGCATCCCCTT